CTAGAGTGCATTAGTGCCCGTCTACTTTTTCAGCGGCGCTGGTTCCGGAAGTACTTTTTCCCCATTCATTTCTCTCATACGGATTTCAAAAATGTCTTCATTAAAGACTTATAAGCCATGGATCAAGCCAATCAGATATGAGGTGAATCATAAAAAGTATGTAAAAATCAAGACAGAAATACAAAGGTACAACAAGACAGCTTTCTTAACGGCTTTAGTGAGGGAAAGAACTATATACACTAGGGCTGACTTCTAATAGTCGAGGATTCGACGATCCAATTCGGAGAGCTCTGATTCGACCATGAACCTCATAGTCGAATAGTAGGGAAGTGTTATGTATAGGGGTGTGACGGTTATTATAACCATGAGACCGACGGTTATAGTTGAACACCGTCATTAGAACTCTATAACCGCCAAAACCGTGCTATTAAAATATTTTTTACAAACATTTTTTATCATAGAGTTTAAATACTAATATCATCTTACGAGGGAAATGGAGGCGGAGTTAGTGGTGCTTCGGACTCGGAGGCTGAATGCTGGAGATGATTCGGGAGAGGTCTGTCCCCCTTTACTGATCAGAGCGCGCGCTGACATGGTAAGCCTTGTTTATACTCGACGCGTCCGCACGAGCACGAAGGTGCGCACGGCAAAAAATGACGCGTTGGGTGCGCAAGACCGGCAAGACCCATTTCGCTTGGCTGTGTGCACAGCTTTTTTTTGTAACAGCGCGCGCGACGCCGCATCCGAGGATGACCGACTTCAAGCCGAATCTGCCCGAGCATGTACGTCTCACAGCACCGGCACGCAGTTTGCGCGTCTAAATTGCAAAGTTCATTGCAAAGTTTTTTTGTTAAGGTTTTGTTTACTCTGTGTGATTTATTTAAAACAAAGCACGTTCATTGCAACGTTTTTTTGTTTGTTTTTTTTGTTAAGGATTCATTTAATGGGAAGCACATTCACTTCTAGTTGTCTTGCTGTTCATTTTAAATAAACGTAGAGCGAGTTGTCCTATAACAGACGAACAGTTATTCAACCGAACGTCTAGCTGCTATCTAAAAAAAAAGGTTCGACTATCAGTCGACTACGGCAAAATCTAACGAATCAGATTCGACTATGAAAATCCTTAGTCGAAAACAGCCCTAATATACACTCACCTAAAGGATTATTAGGAACACCTGTTCAATTTCTCATTAATGCAATTATCTAATCAACCAATCACATGGCAGTTGCTTCAATGCATTTAGGGGTGTGGTCCTGGTCAAGACAATCTCCTGAACTCCAAACTGAATGTCAGAATGGGAAAGAAAGGTGATTTAAGCAATTTTGAGCGTGGCATGGTTGTTGGTGCCAGACGGGCCGGTCTGAGTATTTCACAATCTGCTCAGTTACTGGGATTTTCACGCACAACCATTTCTAGGGTTTACAAAGAATGGTGTGAAAAGGGAAAAACATCCAGTATGCGGCAGTCCTGTGGGCGAAAATGCCTTGTTGATGCTAGAGGTCAGAGGAGAATGGGCCGACTGACTCAAGCTGATAGAAGAGCAACTTTGACTGAAATAACCACTCGTTACAACCGAGGTATGCAGCAAAGCATTTGTGAAGCCACAACACGCACAACCTTGAGGCGGATGGGCTACAACAGCAGAAGACCCCACCGGGTACCACTCATCTCCACTACAAATAGGAAAAAGAGGCTACAACTTGCAAGAGCTCACCAAAACTGGACAGTTGAAGACTGGAAAAATGTTGCCTGGTCTAATGAGTCTCGATTTCTGTTAAGAGATTCAGATGGTAGAGTCAGAATTTGGCGTAAACAGAATGAGAACATGGATCCATCATGCCTTGTTACCACTGTGCAGGCTGGTGGTGGTGGTGTAATGGTGTGGGGGATGTTTTCTTGGCACACTTTAGGCCCCTTAATGCCAATTGGGCATCGTTTAAATGCCACGGCCTACCTGAGCATTGTTTCTGACCATGTCCATCCCTTTATGGCCACCATGTACCCATCCTCTGATGCCTACTTCCAGCAGGATAATGCACCATGTCACAAAGCTTGAATCATTTCAAATTGGTTTCTTGAACATGACAATGAGTTCACTGTACTAAAATGGCCCCCATAGTCACAAGATGCGCATCCCACAAATCTCCATCAACTGCAAGATGCTATCCTATCAATATGGGCCAACATTTCTAAAGAATGCTTTCAGCACCTTGTTGAATCAATGCCACATAGAATTAAGGCAGTTCTGAAGGCGAAAGGGGGTCAAACACAGTATTAGTATGGTGTTCCTAATAATCTTTTAGGTGAGTGTATAAATGCTATATATATATATAATTTTTTTTGCAATACACTTAAAATATATTATTAATATATTATATTATATATATATATATATATATGTATTGAGAGAGTAGTGAGATCGACCTGCTCACGTCATCCACTTCATGGAAGTGGGCAGGGGTAAAAAAAAAAAAGCTTTTTTTTTTACGCCTTTTGCTTGTTTCGACTCTCTGATTGGTGGAATCTTGTACAGCATCATGGGTAATTCAGTTTTTCACCACAAATTCCACTGTTAAACTCAATTATTTTAAAACTAAGTTGAAATAAGTGAAAAAGAGTTTTTACTTACGGACCGACTGTTGCGCTCTATGGTGTTCTAACCACCCTTAGCAACCGCATAGCAACGTAGACGTTTTCTTGACATATCAATATTTAAAAATAATTATTATTATTATTTCAAAATATGAATTTAAACTATACTGGAAACACTTTGTAAGCACTAAGGTCCCATTAGTTAATGCATTAACATTAACATAATCATTGATCTTTGTTAATGTTAGGTAATGAAAACACAGCTGTTCATTGTCAGTTCATGTTAATTATCTGAGGAATCATCATTCATGTCTGGAGCACAAAAACGCTTCAAGACGCTGAACTATCAGCTATAATCATTTCAGGCCACTGAAATGTGGTATAATATCAGCATTAAAACAAACGTGCACGTGACGTCCTTCTTGCCCGGTACTATTCTTGTCTGCAAAATGAGCAGCTGTGTCCTCTGCTGTTGCTATGGAAACTCTACATGTGTGCATGAAGAATTACAGGAAGTGCTGTGCCTGTGTTGTGCTTTTCTTGCTGTTGCTATGGAACACTCAGTGGCATAAGACAGGAAGTGGCTGGGCGTGGGGGGGGAAGTGATGTCATGAGTTTTAGATGGTGCATTTGAACATCATTTACAGCAACTGTAAAAGATATATTCAGTGAGAGAGGATTGATGCCAGATCTTTGATTGTCACTCGCCCATCTTTTTAAGAATGAATTTAAGACAAAGAAATAATTTCCCCCCCAAAAAATGTATTCTGTAATTTTCTCACCCTTATGCCGTTGTAAACTTGTATGATCTTCTCTCTTCAGTGGATAACACACACACACACACGCACACACACGGCAGGAGTGCAAGAAACATGCATCTTTGCTGTGATACTCTGTGTCTGAGAGAGTGTGTGTGTGAGTGAGTGAGTGAGTGAGTGAGTGAGTGAGTGAGTGTGTGTGTGTGTGTGTGTGTGTGTGTGTGTGTGTGTGTGTGTGTGTGTGTGTGTGTGTGTGTGTGTGTGTGTGTGTGTGTGTGTGTGTGTGTGTGTGAGTGGGCTAATTAGATTGTCAGAATTGTCTGATTGACTATAGCCATAATTTCTTTGTGAATCATGGATCTCCATGGTAACAAGCGAACGTCTGAGAATAAAAGTGGCCCTTATAGAAAAAGAGAGAGTGCTTGACATTTATCGAACACAAAGAGGACGAACGACGGTAACAAAATTATAAAGCACACAAGCTCCCTCTCCAGAGACAAATAAAGAAAAAGGGCCATTTGTTTCTTTTTCACATTATTATTATTATTTTTTTCCTGATGTAGACAATATCACACAGTGATAATTCAGAGATGGAAAGAGAATGAAAGAAAGAAAGCAATCAACAAGCATCTTGTGAACAAACCACAGCGTTACTTAGTCCAAATAGGCAATTCACCGCAAAAACCACAGTACAAAAATAGAGCAACTCTCAGAAAGTCCTTCAAACGGCGAAACTCACATCGATTCAACAACACTGGATCGACTCCTAAACATTCATTATGTTCGTCTTAAGACAATTAATGCTTTTAAAAATAAAACCAAACGGTGAAAAAGCAAACATTCCATTCAAGAATATGAATCAAATTTGATATAATAATAATAATAATAGATTGCACTTTATTTGAAGGTGTCCTTGTTACAGTTAATTATAAAGTATTAAGTACTGATTATTAATTAATGCCATAGGGTTAGGGTTTGGTTGAGGGTTAGTTGCATGTAATCATGCATCATTTACTGTTATTGCTATATGTAACAAGGATACTGTAAAATAAAGGGTTACACTTTATTTTAAGGTGTCGTTAGTACACTGTAATTATATATTTAAGTACTGAGTGATATTAATTAACAACATGTACTTACTATAGGGTTAGGGTTAGTTGCATGTAATTATGCATAATTTACTGTTATTACTATAGTAACATATGTAACAATGACACTGTAAAATAAAGTGTTACCAAATAATAATAAAAATAGAAAAAAAGCATAATTTAATCGTCAATATTCTTACGCATTCTATGTTTTGAAATACATCTTTCTGTCACGGTATAAACATTCTGCATTCGTGCGTCGCCTTCATAAGCGACAGTGACAGATCAGATAGTGAGTTTGACGTAATCAGCAAGCCATGCCCAAAAGATGCAACTGGGGACCAGGGAACAGGCGTCATGTGATCAAGACCCAGAATGCAATGGGGCCTGACGTCACATAAGGAGCAGGTTACACAACAGCCAAATCCACAAACCGTGCTAAACAACTGGACGTCCAGATCCAAACATTTATGATTTTAAGTTCAGTTCGGCACTTGCAATACATGCAGCGATAATTAGTTTGACGTCAGTCTTATGTTCCTCCTTTTTTTGCGAATTTTATTTTCAGTTCGTCAAGATGCATTTTTTTCCCGTGAGCCTGAGAATCAAAGATTCAGTCTCGCGTTCAAAGTGGATAACGAAGAAACACGAGTTCAAACAACGAGAGCAAGTGACGCCCGGAGCAAAATGCTAATTATTGGGCGGAGTCCGAATATAAACATGCACGTCACGTCGGACTGAGAGACGTCACTGTTCCTCTCGCTCTTCTTCCTCCACGTCTTCCTCGTCGAGAGACACGATGCCAGACGAAACCACGTCTGACGGTTTTCTACGAACGGAATACTCCGGCGGAAGACAGACTCCGCCTCCACAGTCCTTACAAGGCGTGTCTTCGAATGTCTCGGAATATGATTCCAAGCAACAGGGGGAGTGGCCTAATCGATGCCCCGCCCTGTGTAGGCGGGCCAACAGTAGCTCCTCCCCTCCCTGAAGAACGCTGAGGATCTTGGCGGTGAGTTCTGCGGCGGGCGAGTCACCGTGACGCCCGAGGTCCCGAAGCAACGGGTGTCTCTCGTCCAAGCTGTACGTGCTGGAGCAGAGCGTGTCTGACGGTGACCCCGGTGACCCCACGGGAGGTGAAAGGTCAGCTCCCACCCCGCTCTCGGCCTCACACAGACCTCGACCCCGCAGGTGAGCCTGACACACCTGAGTGTGTAAGAGATCCCGCAGGTAATGAGGGTACGAGGACAGATCTGAGGAGACAACAGGTGTGTTAGATTCAAAGCACTGCGCATATTTTAAACAATATTTTTGTTTTTACTATTACTATGCTAAGTACATGTAACATATGCAACAAGGACACTGTAAAATTTGTATTTTTCTTATCCCACTGGTTAATAGTTTATCATTGTTTTAAAGGGATAGGTCACCCAAAAATGTAAATTCTGTCCTCATTTACTCGCCCTCATGTCGTTCCAAACCTGTAAGACTTTCGTTCATCTTCGAAACGCAAATGAAGATGTTTTAATGAAATCTGAGAAATGTCTGTCCCTCCATTGACAGCAATGCAAATTCCAGTTTGTCACTTCCAAAAGTTTATAAAGAGATCGTAAAACTAATCCATATGAATTGAGCGGTTCAGTCCAAATGTTCTGACTTGATCACTTCATATGATGAACAGGTTTAATTTAGGCTTTTATTCACATATGGACATTAATCAACCCACACATCAGATAAGGTAAACAGAAGCTCAAGCATGCTAGCTTGACATGCAAGAACCAATGAGGTTCATTCTCGTGTTACGCATCACGTTTGAGCTTCAGCAAGAACCAATGAGGTTCATTCTCGTGTTACGCATCACGTTTGAGCTTCAGCAAGAACCAATGAGGATCATTCTCGTGTTACGCATCACGTTTGAGCTTCAGCAAGAACCAATGAGGTTCATTCTCGTGTTACGCATCACGTTTGAGCTTCAGCAAGAACCAATGAGGTTCATTCTCGTGTTACGCATCACGTTTGAGCTTCAACAAGAACCAATGAGGTTCATTCTCGTGTTACGCATCACGTTTGAGCTTCAGCAAGAACCAATGAGGTTCATTCTCGTGTTACGCATCACGTTTGAGCTTCAGCAAGAACCAATGAGGATCATTCTCGTGTTACGCATCACGTTTGAGCTTCAGCAAGAACCAATGAGGTTCATTCTCGTGTTACGCATCACGTTTGAGCTTCAACAAGAACCAATGAGGTTCATTCTCGTGTTACGCATCACGTTTGAGCTTCAGCAAGAACCAATGAGGTTCATTCTCGTGTTACGCATCACGTTTGAGCTTCAACAAGAACCAATGAGGATCATTCTCGTTTTACGCATCACGTTTGAGCTTCTCAAGAACCAATGAGGTTCATTCTCGTGTTACGCATCACGTTTGAGCTTCTCAAGAACCAATGAGGTTCATTCTCGTGTTACGCATCACGTTTGAGCTTCTCAAGAACCAATGAGGTTCATTCTCGTGTTACGCATCACGTTTGAGCTTCAGCAAGAACCAATGAGGTTCATTCTCGTGTTACGCATCACGTTTGAGCTTCTCAAGAACCAATGAGGTTCATTCTCGTGTTACGCATCACGTTTGAGCTTCAGCAAGAACCAATGAGGTTCATTCTCGTGTTACGCATCACGTTTGAGCTTCAACAAGAACCAATGAGGTTCATTCTCGTGTTACGCATCACGTTTGAGCTTCAGCAAGAACCAATGAGGTTCATTCTCGTGTTACGCATCACGTTTGAGCTTCAACAAGAACCAATGAGGTTCATTCTCGTGTTACGCATCACGTTTGAGCTTCTCAAGAACCAATGAGGTTCATTCTCGTGTTACGCATCACGTTTGAGCTTCAGCAAGAACCAATGAGGTTCATTCTCGTGTTACGCATCACGTTTGAGCTTCAACAAGAACCAATGAGGTTCATTCTCGTGTTACGCATCACGTTTGAGCTTCAGCAAGAACCAATGAGGTTCATTCTCGTGTTACGCATCACGTTTGAGCTTCAACAAGAACCAATGAGGTTCATTCTCGTGTTACGCATCACGTTTGAGCTTCAGCAAGAACCAATGAGGTTCATTCTCGTGTTACGCATCACGTTTGAGCTTCTCAAGAACCAATGAGGTTCATTCTCGTTTTACGCATCACGTTTGAGCTTCTCAAGAACCAATGAGGTTCATTCTCGTGTTACGCATCACGTTTGAGCTTCAGCAAGAACCAATGAGGTTCATTCTCGTGTTACGCATCACGTTTGAGCTTCAACAAGAACCAATGAGGTTCATTCTCGTGTTACGCATCACGTTTGAGCTTCAGCAAGAACCAATGAGGTTCATTCTCGTGTTACGCATCACGTTTGAGCTTCAGCAAGAACCAATGAGGTTCATTCTCGTGTTACGCATCACGTTTGAGCTTCAACAAGAACCAATGAGGTTCATTCTCGTGTTACGCATCACGTTTGAGCTTCAGCAAGAACCAATGAGGTTCATTCTCGTGTTACGCATCACGTTTGAGCTTCAACAAGAACCAATGAGGTTCATTCTCGTGTTACGCATCACGTTTGAGCTTCAGCAAGAACCAATGAGGTTCATTCTCGTGTTACGCATCACGTTTGAGCTTCAACAAGAACCAATGAGGTTCGTTCTCGCGCATCAAGCAAGTACGGTTGAGCTTTTGTTTATGTTCGCTGATCAATGTTTATTTGTGAATAAAAGCCTAAATTAAATATTTTCAACATATAAAGTGATCGAGTCTCTTCAGAAAATGTGGACTAAACTTACTAAAGTCGTAGTTGCGTAACTGTCAATGGAGGGACAGAAATCTCTCAGATTTCATTTAAAATATCTTCATTTGTGTTTCGAAGATGAAAGGAAGTATTACAGGTTTGGAACGACATGAGGATGAGTAATTGATGACAGATTTTTCATTTCTGGGTGAAGTAACACTTTTAGGGGTGACCCCGAATAGTCGAAGATTCGATGCTTCGATAGGAGGAGCCTGATTCGACTAGGCTACAAATCTCACGGTCGAATCTTCGCAGATGTGTTATTAAACGAGGATTATGTCATTTTGGCTATATGAGTGTGCTCAATGTCTGATTTCACATAGAACTACTGGTTTTCTGTCAATACGTTAATATACAGCCTATTATGATAATGCTGTCAATAAAAATGTGCAAAGAAAGAAGCTTTTAATAAATATTTTTTTAACGTGCGTGCAGTGTGAATAAATCCAAACACCCCGTGACAGATTTTAGTTTCACTTTCGATCCGTGACCGAGAGAGGAGCGTCTTGTCGGCAGGGATTTAAATCTTTAAAAAATGTCTGGTATATGAAAATCTAAAGATGCACACCATCAGAAAGGATATTCTCCAAGGCTGGATTAAGCATCAGGAAAACCATGATCGCACTTCTGCCGGCCAACGTTAACAGGCTGGTTTTCCTCGGGACGTTCTAAAACGCTTAAAAGCTTTTAAAACGCTTAAATGGCACTTTTACGTGCTTAATGTATGTACACAGTAGGCTTAAATGGCACTTTTACGTGCTTAATGTATGTACACAGTAGGCTACACACCTTAAGAAACCATTCTATGTGCAGATAAGCAGATGAACCCAGAATATGAACGCAACGCGTTTCTCCTATAGAAAGTCACGTAAAGCTTTTTCTTTAACGGTTTTCTATGGGAGGAAAATGCTTAACGTAGCCTATAATAAAACGCGTTGCGTTCATATTCTGGGCTCATCTGCTTTTCTGTAGGCTATATATAGTATGCTTTATTAATAAGGTGTGTACAGAATTTGATCTTTTAATATAACAGTTTTAGGACCGTTAAGCGTTTTAGAATGTATTTTATCTGCGCACACAATTTGAAAAGACTCAAACGGACACAGGCCGAGTGAAAGACTGGATTTTGTTTTTTTCGATCAGGTATGGGACGGGTAGTGATTTCAAAACATTTCAGCCGGTTCTAATTTGATTTGTGGATACTGTGAACACGTTTAGCTAAAAAGACTGCCGCTCCAGTTTAGCGTTTATTGTTGTTTCTGCAGTTAAAAAGACAAAGTTGACAATCCTGGCTATACTTTCGTTATTTTAGTCATTTCTTTATTTTTATTTTATTAATTGATCACTCAGGGTGATCTAATTTTAACTATTTGTGACTTGTGTTTTGAATATTTGTTCCCCTGCAATTTAGGCATATTGCACACATTTGTTCTGTATCTTGTGACTTTATTCTGACTTATTTCGTTTTGTATTTTTATTTATTATAAATGTATATTGTCGTTTTTTAATTGTTGATTATTTTTTCAGTGCATCGATGTTGCGCTGTAGGCC